GCCCTCATGTTCTCCCCCCACCTCCATCCAAGGCCCAAAGCAAACTTTTCATAACAGATAGGTGTTCACTTGTACATCTTCCAACTTGGTCTACTGTATCCGTTACTCCCGATGTGGCCTCCTCTACATCGGTGAGACCAAGTGTAGACTCGAGGACCGTTTCACAGAGCACCTGCGCTCTGTACGCGACAAACTACAACAACTTATGGTCGCCAACCATTTTAACTCACCCTCCCATTCCCTGATGACATGTCCATACTGGGCCTCCTCCAGTGTCACAATGACACCACATGCAAACTGAAGTAGCAGCACTTCATATGCCGCCTCGGGAGCCTAGAGCCCGATGGTCTTAACATAGAATTCACCAGTTTTATAATCTCCCCATGTCCAGCCTCATCCCATGTCCAGTCCTCCCTTTCATCCCCACCTCCTTCACCTGACACAACCTATCCATCCCACCCATCCCATTGACCAATCCCCTCCATTCCCTGCCAGCCCTCCCCTATCACCATCCCACCTACCTACCCCAGCCCTACCCTCCCTCTCTATTTATTTCCCAGCTCTCTTCCCCCTCCCTATTTCTGAAGAAGGGTCCCAAACCAAAATGTCAATTTCTTGCTCCTCTGATGCTGCCTGGCCTGCTGTGTTCCTCCAGCTCCACACTGCGTTATCTCATAGTTAATTGTATGATCTTTTTTATTTTGAAGAACAACTTGCTGCAGGGATTCTGAGATTTTATAATACAGGAAAGGCATTACCAGAAGCAGAAAAAAAGTTGAAAACTCTTGCATTATGCTATATACATATACTTTTTTAAACAGGCAACATAAAGATGTAGCATTGATGAATTTGGCCAATGTCTTGCACCGAGCCCATTTCTCAGCAGATGCGGCCATACTGGTTCATGCAGCATTGGATGTATCCATGGACTTTCTCACAAGCCATTACACTCTTGGAAACATTTATGCTGTGAGTATGCTGAATATCTTTTTCTGATTTAATTTTGTTTACATTCTTGTTAGTATGTTTAGTGGTCTTTAAAGGTTTATGCAGCAGTTCTCGTTGACATAGTTTACACACACAGAAATATTCAACTGTCATATTAGGTGTTACTGCAAAGAGATGTGTTGCTGAAGCTTTTCATCTTGCACTCATCACCGCAAACATAAGAATGCCAGATTTCGTGCCTTTGTGCTAATGAGTACAAGATGAACCAAAATGATAACTTGACTGTCTCTCTTAAGCAACACTTAAGTTCTAAGCGGTCTAACATCAGTCAAGTTGGACCTAAGAGGGGAACTATTACATTTGTATCATTTTATTTTGTATTTTAAATGGATTGTGTTAATATATTTTGAACTTCGTCTGTTTTACATACACGCAAGAAAAAATCTTATTCACACGCAGGACCCTATTCTTTGTATGCAAAATGAATTTGTCCATGTGTTGCACCTTTGCAGTTGAGGAAAGGGTTACAGAGATTGCCAATCCCAGCTGCATTCCCCATGGTCATGCCCTGACCAATTACAGTCTGCATGCCTGGTCTGAGTTTAATAAGCTAACTATGTTTGAACTGTATTCGGCACCCTTTCCTCATGCTGTACACATTGGCATTCCCTTTCAATTTTTTTGTGTCCCAGTCCTGATGAGTGCAAGATGAAAATCTTTAACTCTTACAATGTTTCAAGTTCTGTACTCCCAAGCAATTTAAAAAAAAAACTTATTAAACACTTGTAACTGGCTAATATTTTGATAATTAATGGAGTTCCAACAGGAATTCTGTGTTTTTCTTCATTCCTAATTGGTGAATCCTAATTGGTTTTGGTTTATTCATTCCGCAAACCTTGACATTTTTCAGCTGCAGGAAGAATTTAGAACACGTTAAGTAGTGATTAGCTTAACCATGCCTTCTATTGCCAGTGACAGGGATAGAAGTTAAAAGATGATTGATTCAAGGAAGAATGTAATAGCTCAGTTAAAACAGAAGTATTTAATAGTCTGTATGTAAAGATATAGAGGAGGGTCATTTAAGATGTATGATAACATGACTGTAGCCAGTAGTCGTTGCGGCAAGAAGAGGGATTGCGTTTGGAGAAAAAAGATATTGCATTTGATCTAACAGGATCTTTCAAAAAAAATTCTAGCATCCTAGTGGAAATGGATATACTAATTCTATTTGTCCTGATAGAAGTAAAGATTTGAAATGTAAACTCATTAGTACAAGTCTAGAGCAGTGAATAAGTTCCCTTCCTTTTCTTGTATCAGAGACTGGTATGACAGACAAATTTTATGTTCCAATTTTGTATATCTTAGTCATACATGATGTGAGGCTCAAATCAGAGAGATTCTCCCATGTTTTTCTTTCAATATGTTTATTAATAAAGTTCAGTCAAGGATTTTAAAAAATTACAATATTACAAGTAAAACTTTTTTTAAAAAAAAAAGCAACAATAATCCCATTCTCCAGCCCAACCCCTTCACGTGAATACATGCAGCATACAAAGAAAAATAAGATAAATTATAGGGTGGAGGGAGGTGAAGCATTTAAAAGTTCAACAAGAAGTTAAATTTCCAGTGATTTTCAAGATCTCAGTGACGTGATGTTGCTGTATCAACAGTTTAAATCCAATGTTGCCCTGACTCTATCTATGGGGTTTTATGTTATTTAAAATTCTCAGAACGGTTTGTGTTCCTTCCACTTAATGTTGCCAACCAGACTGTTTCCTACTTGACAGAGAGAAAAAGCCTTCTTAGCCAGTGTTCGGCTTTCCCTTTTCCGAGTGGACCTTTGAGGCCCATGCTCAGTAGCGATTTCTGGAACTTGAAGTCAGTGCTGTGATCCATGACAGCACGCCAATCACTGCGCATGTAACGTCGGAGCACTGCTGCTTAGAGGCGATGCTGCCTGTTTTCAGTGCTGTATTCCAAATTCTATCTCCACCGTTCTACCAAAAAGCTCTTTGAAGTTGAAGCTGTTTGTGTATTCTGTGTCTGCGGAGTTTATTGTTTCTAGATTCTGAATTGCAGTAGATGTATCAACTCCAACATATGAAGATTCTCTTAATCATAAGAGTCTCTACAGTGTGGAAGCAGGCCATTAGGCCCATTGAGTCCACACCGACCCTCCGAAGAGCATCCCACCACCCCCATTCTGTCCCTGTAACCTTGCATTTCCCATAGCTAATCCACCTAGCCTGCACATCTTTAGGCTATGGGAGGAAACTGGAGCGCTGTGTGGAAACCAACACAGACACAGACATAATGTGCAAACTCCATGCAGACTGTTGCCCGAGACTGAAATCGAACCGGGGTCCCTGGCACTGAGGGGCACCGGTGCCACTTAGCCACCATGTCAATCAAACCTGTGCTTCCCACAGTTTTAATTACTAATTTCAGACCCCTTGTGAAAAATATGAATTTCAGGCTGTTTTTGGTCAATTCCATGTTGGTTCCATGAAACTTGGCCAGCCTATTTATGTAATACCATTTTAGGCTATATTTTGGTCTGCTTTTTTTTTTAAAAAGACCATTTCTGTCTATGAAAGTCCAAAGTATGAAATGAGCCATTGGAATTCAACAAATAGTAATCTGTATTGTATCATGACACTGTATGGTATGTAATGTATTGCCCCCACATTTTTCTCTGTGATCTGAGAATGGGAATTTACTCCTTCGCAAAAGATATTATGGAGAGAAACCTGACTTTCACTGCAGCTGTGCTGTGGGCTACCTCCGCTTAGAAACAAAGAAAATTGAAGCAGGAGTAGGCCATTTGGCCCTCATGCCTGCTCTGACATTTAATATGATTACGGTTAATCATCAAACTCAATACCCTGTTCCTTCTTTCTCCCCGTACCCACTGATCCCCTTAGTCCTAAGAACTATATCTAACTTCTTAGAAACATTCAATGTTTTGGCTTCAACTACTTTCTATGGCAGAGAATTCACAGGCTCACCACTCTCTGGGTGAAGGAATTTGTCTTCATCTCAGTCCTAAATGAGCTATGTGGCATCTTTAAATTGTGACCCTGGTTCTGGACTCCCTGGTCCAAGAGCAACTTTCCTAACAAGACTGTCTAGTCTTGTTAGAATATTATAGGTTTCTATGTGATACCTCCCTCAATCTTTCAAAACTCCAGTGAATATAGTTGTAACCAATCCAGTCTGTCTTCATATTTCAGTCCTACTATCCCAGGAATAACTCTGGTAAACCTTTGTTACACTCCCTCCATAACTAGAACATACTGCTCAGGTAAGGAGGCCAAAACTGCACACCATACTCCAGGTATGGTCTTAGCAAGGCCCTCTACAATTGCAGCAAGGTCGTGTACAATTGCAGCAAGGCATCTCTACTCTGTACTTCATCTCTCTTGCTCTAAGGCCAATGTACCATTTGCCTTCTTCACCACCTGCTGCACTGCATGTATACTTTCAGCAAGGATACCCAAGTCTTGTCAATCTGTCATCATTTGATAATCTACCTTCCTCTTTGCTACCCAAGCGGATAACCTCATGTTTATCCATGTTATATTTAATCTACCATGCATATGCCCGCTCTCTCAACTTCTCCAAATCACACTGAAGCATCTCTGCATCCTCCTCACAGCTTTACCCACCTACCCAGCTTTGTGTTGTGTGCAAACTTGGAGATTTAATTCATCTAAATCATTAATATATATCGTCAATAGCTGGGGTCCAAGTACTGATCCCTGCCATACTCTGCTAGTCATTGCCTGCCACTTTTTTGACTGAAATTTCAAAAACGTTTGGAACTTTTCTTCCTACCTCTTTCTCCCCGCTCCATCTTTCCCTTTTGCTCCCCAGAACTAAATTCGAATTTTGGGCATCTAGTTCAATCTAGTGCAACAGATCAGCTTTTTACATATAGACTGTGGTAAATGTTCTTTGCTGCATTTAAGCATTGTTAAGGTACTTTATCTATTACGAATCAGAAATGAAATTGTTATCTTATGACAAGTTACTTTTTTTGTATATTCTATATTATATTAAATTTTTCAAAAAATTTGTCTATTTCCAAATAAGTAAACGAATTGTCGTACGATGAGTGTGTGTGTGTGTGTGTGTGTGTATGTATGTATATATATATATATTTGCTAATTTCACTGTTGTACTGCATCAGTATAATTCAGTATGTTGTACAAATACAGTTAGCACACATTGATGCATTCCATCATCCTGTGAAGTACCCATCATACTGGGAAAATGCCTAAGGGCTAGGAAATTCTGATGTGAATGTCCCTAAATTAAAACACCAGTGTTTTATTAATCAATCAACAATGTGATTGTCTGCATTATGACACTTTAGATGGCAAATCTACCAATAAAGAACCAGTAGAGGACAAATAGAGATTGTCAAAACTAAGCTCCAAATAACTGTAATGACCAAGTAGGGAAGTCAATGCACAGAAGTGGAAAATGTCCATATTTTATGGTACCATTAGTATCAAGACAAGCATAGGAGTGTTTACAGCATTATTAATAATTTGAAATGAAATGTTGATATAACTTGCAATTTTTCTTTTCCAGATGTTAGGAGAATATAACCATTCAGTGCTATGCTACGATCAAGCATTGCTTATAAGGCCAGGTTTTGAACATGCGCTAAGAAGGAAACATGCCGTACTGTGCCAGCAGAAATTGGAACAAAAATTGGAGGCACAGCACAGGTATGATACGTGTAACAGGAACATGGTTGCAATTTTGTTTTAGTGTGGTGCCATAGGAAAGTACAGCACAAAAGGAAACCGGTCAGCTCAGAACGTCTAAGCCAAATCTTTCATAAAGCAATCCTTTAGTACCACTGATATACTATCGCTCCATATTCCTGCATTATATTTTCTCCTTAAACTATTTATCCAATTCTCTTTTGAAAACAACATTTGAATCTGCTTAACATAATAAACGTCGATGCTTTTTTAGTTCATGCAAGTAACTCCAGTTGAACAATGACCCTCCTTTAACTTCGCTAACACCTGCATCCAAAGTATCTATTCTTACCCTTATTCTTAAAAAGGATATTTTGCAGATACCGCTCAGTAGGGAGAATGTGTCAATTTGTAATGCTAGTAAATTTACATATTTCGCTCACAAGTTCATCCACATTTAGTTTTATTTTTCCTTTGAATTGTTGGGACTTATTATGATGATTCATGTATTTAGATCTTTGCAGCGAACGTTAAATGAACTGAAGGAATACCAGAAGCAACATGATAATTACCTGAGGCAGCAAGAATTGCTGGAGAAGCACAAAGTTATGCAAGATGAGCAGCTGCTGAGAAATATAATCCATGAAACACAAATGGCTAAAGAAACTCAGCTAGGTAAATTCACTGTCTTTTGATGCAAGTTATCAAACAGTGCTGTTGGAAAATATCATCATACTCAAATGAGTATTTTCACAGCTGTCTGAAGGTGGATGGTTATTTTGTATTTAGCCATAAGTGCAAGAGTCAGTCTTTTTTACATTATCCAGGTTTCAGTTATTTAAATTTTGAATTATATTGTCAACTTTTGGGACAATTTTGGCCAGCTTTGTTCAAGACAATAGATAACGAGGGTGATTATTTTAAGAAATATGAGAATAAATATTGGAGCCAACCTATTTAATTTGTAAATTCTTTTTGAAAACAGTTTTGCATCTACTTGTTCTATTTCCTTGTTATATTAGCCAGTACATTATCCAAGAGGCAACTTAAATAAAAAGTAGCTTACAGGTTTTATGATCCTAGCTAGTGGTACTTCTGGACAAATTAGATCCTAGAATGAAAGCTGGGTTGATCTTTATTTTTGTTTTGCTGGTTAATGTGGTTAGTCACCAAGACATGTTCACCCAAGACTGCAGATTTTCTTTAATAACAGAACTTTATTGTACAAAAAAAAAGCAAGCTATCTAAAGAAACTGTTGGGAGTCAGTTGAGTCAAACTCAAGTTGAGAAAATGGTGTAATTTGTCGGGACTTGAGTCATTGTAATGGATAATGACAGGACACAGGTTGAAAATTTGTTTGGCTGTGTGTTTTAGATCTTAATACGTGTCTTGGATATTTGCTGTGGATGATGTAATAATTCAGTGAGTCCTTTCCAAATTTGCCAGTGTGAACTTTTTCACACTTTTTTTGGTGTGGCACGGTTGCTCAATGGTTAACCCTGCTGCCTCACAGTGCCAGGGACCCGAGTTCAATTCCAGCCTTGGGCAACTGTGTAGAGTTTGCACATCCTCCCCATGCCTGCTTGGGTTTCCTTGGGTGCTCCAGTTTCCTCCCATACTCCAAAGATGTGCAGGTTAGGTGGATTGACCATGTCAAAATTGCCTTTAGTGTCCAGGGATGTGTAGGATAGGTGGATTAGCCATGGGAAAATGCAAGGTTACAGCGAAAGGTAAAGGGGGTGAGTGTAGGATGCTCTTCAGAGAGTTGTTGTGGACTTGTTGGGCCGAATGGTCTGTTTCCACACTGTATGGATTCTATTCTAAATCTGAGAGCCTAAATTTTCTCGATTCCAATAATCAAACATATATGTCTCGAAAATTAAACCTTCCCGTGAGGTAGCTGATCCCTGAACTTTTCTAAACTCTTTCTAAGAGAGAAACTTTGTATTCTGAACAGATTATTTAATAACTTGTTCATCCTAAATTATTTTGAAGTTATAATGATCAACCCACAATTAAAGCCCAGTCCATTTAATGTTGGTCATGGGAAAGCCTCTCGTAATAATTATTCAGGTTAGAATTAATAGTACATGGAAAAAGGTGAGTTGATTGAAAGGGGAAATCATATTACAGGAGGGTTTTGAAGAGGTAGAAGAAAGGGTCTATAAGGGATATGCTGTAAATGTAATTGTTATTGTAATTACGTGCAAAGTACTAATCTTGTAAGAGGTAAAATGTAATTGTTCGATACAGTGCCACAAAACGGCTATGTGAGAAAAGCTGCAAAGTATGGAATAAAATGAACTCTAGCATGTTGGATATGAAATTGGTTCAAAAATATAATCAGCATCCTAGTTAACGGATATTTTTCAGAGGAGCGTTGTATTGGAGTTCCCTAGGGGTTGATATTGGGACCCTTGCTTTTCCTGATTTTAATTAATTATCTAGATCTAGTGTTCAGCAGTCAATTTCAAAGTTTGCAGATGATGCAAAACTTGGAAACGGTATCAACTGAGAGGAGGACTGACATAGACAAATTGGTGGAGTGAGTGGATGGATAGGTGGCAAATGAAGTTAAATGCTAAGAAGTGTGAGTTGATGCACGTTGGTAGCAAAAGCATGGACAGATGCTATAAAATAAAGAGTACAATACTAAAGAAGGTGCAGGAGCAGAGGGACCTGGATTTGTATGTGCGCTGAAATTCTTAAACATGTCAGAGGAGATATGAGAGCAGTTAATAAAGCATGCGGTATTTCGGGGCTTTGTTAATTGGGTTATAGTGTACAAGAGCAAAGAGCTTCTGCTGAATTTATATAAGACACTTGTCAGACTTCAGCTGAAGTATTGTGTATAGTTCTGGGTCTGCAGTTCGGAAGAATATGAATACACTGTAGAGAGTGCAAAAGAGATTTATTTGAATGGTTCCTGAAATGAGAAAATTCAGTTCTGTGGATAGAAGGGAGAGTTTGGGACTGTTCTTTTTGGAGAGAACAAGGATAAGAGCAGATCTGATAGAAATTTGCAAGTAGTGAGAGGGCCGGATACAGTAGATAGGGCAAAACTGTTTCCACTCAAGAGGATCAAGAACAAGTGGGTATAGATTTGTAAAAGAAAGAAATGTGATGTGAGGAAAAAAAAAGCTTTTCACACTGCTTGTGGTTTGGATTTGCAATGAACTACCTCTATGTGTGGTGAAGGAGCATTCACCTGAGGAATTGAAGAGGACATTAGAACGTTGTCTCCATTTAAACGGTGTACAAAGGTATGGGGAAGAAGCAGGAAAATGGCACTAAGTTGTAAGGCTCATTTGGAGAAAGTTGGTGCAGACACGAGGCCACATGGTATCATTTGCATTGTAACATTTCTACGATTCTGTAATTAATCTGAAAACACAGTCTCATGTTTACCGTACCGGTCATAAAGGTAACGCTATAAACCTCTTTCCATTGGCACCACAGAGTTCTGCACTCACCTGCTTTCTGACAAAATGCTGCATTTAGTCACTTGCAAAAGGAGACTTATTTTTTAAGTAAGCTCTTCATGGAAATAACCAATGCTCACATCTGCCTCTATTTTGAAATTCAAATTCCAAAAATTGCATTAATATACATGAACTAAACATCCTTCGTCATATACGCCATAGCACCCTTTTCTAGAAGTGATCAGATTCATACAAAATATGTAAAATATTATTTAACTTGTGTTACTGCAGAATTGGGATCAGTTAGAAATTACTCGATAGTATAAAAGCCAATATTTAGGTTAAATTTGTTTTTTTTAATTCTTTTTAGGAAACCACCAGCTTTGTCGCTGGGTTAACAAGCAGCAAATTTTACACTGTCAGTGGGATCGTCCTGTGCGCTATACCAGAGGAGATCTTTTTGACACAGTAGAACATGTACAGGTATAAATTAAAGTAAAATAACAACTTAATTAATGTTTGGTATAAGGTGACAGCAGTTTGCGCTCATCTTTAAAATGTTGATGTACCTGTTCATCTTCAATTCACTTCCACTGTATCCAACTCCTTAACCCATTGTAAGATCCGGATATTCTAGGCTTTTTTAAAATGGCAATCCAGGACTTATGGTCACCATTACTGCATTTGCTTTTTGTTCCAGATTTGTTTAATTAACTATTATTGAACAGTCAACGAAGTATCCAAGCTCCTATCACTGGACCATTAATCAAGACTTCTGAATGCTATTTCAGTAACGTCATCAGCAAAAACAGTAGCACAACCATCAGTACCCACCATTCATTTGGGTGTGCAAAATCCAGAGTGGCTAGAGCTTGTTTATTTCTCTTCCCTAATCTGTCACCTTTCATTGGATGTGATGCTTAATGTGAACAACTCATCAACCCAGCTCCTTAATTTGCCTAACCTCATCCACTGTCATCTGTGAACTTGTAAAGCTATTTTCTGTTCCCATTTCCAAGTTATATTTGGCATCCTGCTCATGATCCCTTTCCATGTGTCTGTATCCTTCACCAACGTTCATTTTCAGATCAAAATAGTGTTAGGAATATTTGTCCCATTATTTTTCAACATCAGGATTGCATGTTGTTTTCTTGAAACTATAGTGTGATTCTTCAATACTAGATGGAATGTTGTAGCTTTTAAATTGCTTAAGGCCTATGTAAATGTTAGAGGCCAGTCCAGATCCAGAACTACCTCTGGACAATGCCACAGGATAACTGCAAGTTAGTAGTAATTAATTTTGATAAAATTAAAGAAAATGGTAAAGTCACCAAAACTTTGCCATAGAAATACTATTTCAAGTACACTTGTTGAGGTAAGATTGTTCTTAAAAAATATAGTGAATTAAAATAAAAAAATTTGAATGACAGAAATTTTTGATGACAGTTGTTGTGTAAACGTTGCCTTTCCAGAATGTAGAAGCACTGCGGGATGGAATTTGAAGGTTGTACAATTTCTTTAAAATATTGGCCAAAACTTTGCAGTCAGTAGCAAAGTGACAGTACTCGCATCTAACCTTGAAGAAAGCTGCGCATAAAGATCCAGCAATCTCTGTGACATGGTCCCTATCCTTTGCAAGCAGGAAGCAAATTCCCACACATTGTGTGATTTTCAACCAAAGAAAAGCGTGGAAGAAAGGCATTCCCATGTGAACTATCCACAAGATCACTTCTACCAATCACAGTCTGCTTGCCAGCCAATCACTTATGCACTTCAAATTGTTGTTCCCTTTGAGTTTTTGGTATTCATGTGATTCTATCCTAATGAGTTCAAGTTGAAAAGCATCAACAGCAGCTCTTCTGCACTTTTCCGGACAGCAGAATTGCTGTCAGTTTCATGGCATAATTGTAACAAATGTTGACAGTTTGACCATGATTGCAACTGCAAAATTTGGGGATTTAAAAAATTCTACCTATCAAATTTTTGTTTTATGATGTTAATGTCAGTTAAGTTTTTAAATATTATTTTAATTGAGCTTTTTTGCAATGAACACTTTTGCAGGCTTTGTCATTTTTTGAAAGAATTTTAAGGTATTCTTCCATTTGTGTTGCTCACTAACTGCATCATATCTACTCAAAACAAATCATTCCAATAGCTTGCATATATTTTTCATCCCGTTTCAGATTGCTGTACAGTAATTTTCTACCAAACATTTTTATTCATTCACTTTTCGATGTCTGTAAGATTTCACTTGTTTCAGAAGGCTTAACTGTTTTGGGTATATCTTGCATTATTGAAATATTGCGCAGAGTCAATATTTTCTCAAGTATTTAACTGTTCCTTTTTTTAAATAAATGTGAGTGTGCATTTCTTCTTTCAGTTCGGGGAGGATAGTTCCACCTCAAGAATGATGCCTGTTGAGATGAAGTTGATGATGAATATGACATGGGACAACATACAGCAGAAATTTCCATCATCACCAACAGGTCGATCAGTGTTGAATATATGGGGAAAGGATTTCTCAAGCTACAATGTAAGTAACAGAGAGGCAGGGAGGGTTAGAATTTGAGACTTGTTTTGCTTTGTGCTCCCCTATATTCTGAATCCTTACAGGAGCAGTGTTCTTGAGCCAGGATAATATTCCTCCAAACCAACACCGATATGTAAAAATTTCAGTGCAGTTCTTTTTCTTCAGGATTTCGTTCAAATCAAACCAAACCTTTGGGTTTTGGTTTGAATATATTCATGTAACATTAAGTTTTTCATTACTTCCTCTGTTCTGATTTATTTTTATTTTGCATTGTGTGGAAAAGTTGTTGAAGCTGTCCTTTGAGACGAAAGATTTATTTAAAGTAGTTTGATAAATTGTTTTAGTTCCATTTTTCTTTAGGATTGCCATACTTTAATAGTAAGTCATTTGACCTTGTGGTAAATGCTGTATTAAAAGACTAGGGCCACTGTACGATGATAGAGAGTGGTGCGTATATGGAATAGGCTGCCAGAGAAAGTGGTTAAGGCAGGTTCAATAGCAACATCTTAAAAAAAACATTTGGATAGGCACATGGGTGGGAAGGGTTTAGAGGGATATGGACCAAATGTGGGCAGTTGGAACTAGCTGAATGGGCACCATGGTCAGCATGGACCAGTTTGACCGAAGGACCTGTTTCCATGCTGTATTACTCTATAACTCTCTGACTCTATATGATAATTCTTTCTAATGACATTTTTGTTTCAGTTCTGAAGCAGAAACATTTGTGCTGCTTCCCAAAGTGATGAGGCATTGTCTGCTCCTTGGTCAATGTATTGTGCAGACAGTTATGCTTTTTCTGTTGCTCAAGCCCCATACAAGGAAGGCAAACAGTTCATGGGGTCACCCCAGTTTTCCAATATCCTACTTCAGTCCCAATTAGTTATAACGTGGAGTAGTCAGGCTTATGTTAGCAGATTGCCTACCTACTCGTTGCAGGGAATGGGGCTAAGTGAAAAGTATTTGTTTGCAAAAAGTAGTTTAGAGTATTATTTTATTCAGAAATTATAACAAGTTTAGATAGCTGACTTCTTTATAATTCTTAGAAATTTACTAGAAAAAAATTAGTAAGTATTCAGGAAAAATGTTACGTTACTTTTAGAAACAGAATACTAAAATGTGAAATATTTATTCATGTACTGCTTATGTTGTCAGGATATATTATGGCCAAAAAGGTTGGACTGTATACACAGTTATCCCACCCTTCCCAAGGCAGCTGATCTTCCTACATACTTTCTACCTCCAGAATACAGAGGATTCTGGTAAGAATTTGGAGACTTGTTGAAAATTGGGCCATTTTGTAAGGTACAGGGATGTCATCTTAACAACTAACAGCAGCAAAGTGTAAGTCATTGCTGTAATAACACCACAGATGCAAAACAATGCAAGCAAAACAATAGTGCATACAGATTTATTTTCTAATATTAAAACTTTGGGTTTTTTAAAGTCATGTGCCAAGAGGTATCAAGGCTTTGACCATGTTATAAAATCATAAGATCTGGAAGCAGAATTAGGCTATTTAGCCCTTCAAGTCTGCTCCGCCATTCAGAGAGATCATGTCTGATCAGATAATCCTCAACTTTACATTTCTGCCCTTTCGTCAAAACTCAGCATTCCTTTACTGATTAAAAATCTGTCTACCTCAGCCTTCAATATACTTAACCCACCCTCTACAGCCTTCTGCAGTAAAGATTCCGCTGATTCACTGCCATCTGAGAGAAGAAGTTCCTCTTTATCTTGCCTTCAATGAGTGAGATTACGCCCTTTGGTCCTAGATTCACCCATGAAGGGAAACAATCTGTTAGTGTCTACCTTGTTATAAAACAGTTCTAAAATTGTTAGCCAAAGTGGTACAGAATACATAAAATATAGGAGTGAAACTGTCAGTTATTTCAGTCCTGAGATATGTTTGAAACTGTGGTTTATGTCTGTTCTTGTGAAGGAATGCTTTTATGAAAATGTTTTCAGAAGTCCAAAAATAGAGCGATGGTCATGCATTGGTAAGGTTACTGGATTGATATCCAGAGACAAATGGTGTCGGGAAAGAGTTTCAAATCCCAGTACAGCAGCTGGTGATATTCAAATTCAATTCATAAATCCTGGAATTATAAAAGTAATCTGTGATGTAAAAACTATTATTTATTGTCATGAAACCCATCTGGTTCACTGATTTCTGTCGGGAAGGAAATATTCAATCTTTACTGCATATGCCCTATGTGTGCCACCAATCCCACAGTCATGTGGCTAACTCTTAAATGTTCTCTGAAATGACCTAGCAAGCCACTCAGTTCAAAGGATGGGCGATAATGCTGATCTTCATGTCCAACCCCTTGAAAGTAATGTTTTTTATAAAATAGAGTAACATAATGTCAACCATGTACCCAAATAGGGATTTGCCACCACATGTCATATACTAATATAAACTTATATTGAACAACCCAGGAAAATTACAAGGATTAAGCACATTAATCCTATTTAATATCTTACATACATATAGCTTGCTTTCATTTTTGGGTATATTTTGCTAAATTGTGAATCAGTAAACAATTGAAACTTTTTTTTTCTTTTTACTAGTGTCCGGTCAGTTCTGATGTCTTCAGGAAACCAAGATAGAGACATGGCTGGCAGACTTCCTGACTGTTCTTCCATGTTAGATTTCCACAGTAATGAACAGCTTTATCAACTAGTGAAAGAACTGGAAAATACACCAGACTTGAAATCAGGAATACCAGACTACTATGCCAAGCAGGTAAGTTTTTTTTTCTTAACTGAAGGCCACCTTGTATAACACTTATTGAATATTGTTAATGCTAATGTTTAAAAAAATGTTGGAGCATGTATAAGTAAAAGAGAAACTGGTGCCAGAGCCTGCAATGGAGCAATAAGCCAGAATAAAATGATTGGGAGAGCAGAGCAAAGCAAACCTTGGGCTCCTCCAGCCTACTCTTGCATTTAGTAGTTCATCGCTAATTGTCTGACACAACTTCCCTTTCCACCCAACTCCCTGATCTCTCTTATTTTCCTGATGGACCAAAAATCTGACTTTCTCAGTCTTCAATACGTTTAACAACAAAGCATCCATGATCCTCATTAGCAAAAATTTCCAAAGATTCACAACATTTTTATCCCTCGGCCTAAATAATCAGACCCTTGTCCTGAGGTTGTAGCCCGAGTTCTAGATTCCCCAGTTAGAGGAAACAGCCTGTCTGTCTACCCTACAAAACCCCTTCGCAATCTTGGATGTTTCGGTAAGATCACATCATTCTTTTAAACTCCAGAGAATATGTCCCAAGTTTACTCGACCTTTCATTGTAGGACAGTCCCATTACTCCAGGAATTAATCTATCGGACCTTTACTATATAGACTCGAAGACAAGTATATCCTTCCTTAAAAATAGAGACCAAAACTGCACACAAGTGCTCTAAATGTGATCTCACCAAAGCCCGCTCGATTTGTAACAAGACTTTGTTCTACTTGTACTCCGGTCCCCTTGCACCAAGGCCTTTGGTGTCTAACTTGCTGAAAAGTAAATGCAGTGTTTTGTGCTAAGTTGATAAGCTAACCCATGTTTTTGGGTGATATCCCTTCTATTTATAGTCCAATGCAGGACACTGTCATTACCCCGCTTTACCCTATCTAATCTTTACACTTTATAATTGTGCCTCTGTATTCCTTGCGTACGTTTTCTCTTGGTTCCAGACACATGATAGAGCCTCATCTTACCATTCCTTTCTGTCTGGTTACTTTGGAAAAATTCCCTCAACATTGTTTCACCTGTTTGCCACTTTATTTTAAGAATTAATAAATTGCCATTCAAAGCACCAGAGATAGTGTTGAGAGTGCCGTTTTCTCCTTGTACAGAGCAGTGACTAGAAACTACAGTACAAATGTGACAAAAATACTACAAATGATACTTGTATTTCAATTGAAAATGTAATGCAAAAGCTGCTACGGGTCACACCAGATTAAGTCAATTCATTCAAGAAATTTTGTAGCTTACTAACTGGATAGGCAGTTTTGATATATTGGAGAAGACTTGACCGTTGCAAAATATGTCATGTTTCATGCAGTGTCATTTTACACATAGATGTCATACAAGAATGAGAAACTTCAGTTATGAGGGGTTCGTTGAAAAAATTGGGCCTGTTCTCCTTGGAGAGAGAAAGGCCAGAGGAAATGTCACAGACGTTTTTAAATCATGAGTGGCCTGGATAGAGTAAGTAGGAGGTAGCATTTGCCAATTGTAAGAGGACACAGATCTAAAATAATGTACAAAAGAAGGAAGGATGATATGAAAAAATACTTTTTCACTCAGTGAGTAATTAGGATGTGGAATGCTTTGTTCGGAAGTATGGCGGCAGCAAGTGCAGTTGAGGCATTCAAGAGGACATTGGATGAATGTTTAGATAGAAATGGTGTGCAAGGGTATGTTGGGGGGAAAGTAGGATATTGACACTAGGGTAAAGAGCTGGTGTAGGCATGATGGGCCAAATGGCCGCTCCCTGCACTATTATAATTGTGATACTGTGAAGAGTGGTGACTTCCATTTATCCATTGGAGACATCTACGTTTATTTTTTTCATGAATGCTACCAAGAGACCTACAGTACAAAGAAGATGTAAAATGCATCATGTAGGCTACATTTTTGTACTTCGCATTGCAACTATGATTTGCTTTTGTTTGAATAGGCTCTGTATTCTCACTTGAGTATTATCGAGGAACAAGTTGGAGAGGTCATCTCGCGAGCTATTGAAAAGGTAAGCTGATAACTTTAGTATGTCAAATTAAAGATGCCTCCTACTAGCAGGGCAGACCCAGCAGAGGTGGTAGCACAGTGACATACATTCAGGAAAGAATTGCCCTAATAGTCCTCAACACGGACTTTGGGCCCTATGAAGTCTCATAGCATCCGGTCAAATGTGAACATGGAACCACCTGTTGATTACCACGTACCTACTGCCCAAACTCCTGGTTGATGAATCATTGCTCCTCCATGTTGAACAACTGTTGGAGAAAGCACTGAATATGGTATGGGCACAGAATATACTCTGCATGGGGTATTTCAATGTCCACTATCAAGAGTGGTTTCTCAGCACCACTACTGACTGAGCTGATCCTCCAGTGCTAAAGAACATAGCTACCAGACTGGGTCTGTGGCAGGTGGTGAAGGAACCAAAAAGAAAGGAAAACATACTTGACTTCATCATCCCCAGTCTGCCTGCTACAGATGCATTTGCCCACAGTATCGGTCACAGTGACCATGCCACAGTTCAAATAGAAACAAAACCCTGCTTTCACGTTGAGGATACCCTCCATCGTGTGTGTGGCACTGTGACTGTTCTAAATGAGATAGACTTTGAACAGATCTAGCAATTCATTGGTCATCAACAGCATCCAAATTATACTCCAACACAGTCTGCAAATTCATGGCCTGGCATATCCTCCATTCTTCCATATCCGTCAAGCTGGGAGGGGATCAAATCTGGTTCAGTGAAGATTTTAGGGCATGCTAGGAGCAGTACCAGGCATAGCCTAAAAATAGGGTGTCAGCCTGGTGAAGCTATTAAACAGGACCATTTGCATGCCAAACTGCATAATCAGCAAGTGATAGACAGAGCTCAGTGACTCCACATCCAACAAATAAGATCCAGGCTGTGCTATCCTGCACATCTAGTCATAAATGGTGGTGGACAATTAAACAATTCACTGGTGGAGAAGGCTCCACAAACATCTCATTCCTCAAATTTGGAAGAACCCACACATCAGTGCGAAAGATAAGGCTGATGCATTCACAGCAATCTTCAGCCTGATGTTCCAAGTGATGATCCATCTCACCCTCCTCCAAAGGTCCCCAGCATCACACATGCCAGTCTACGGCCAATTCAGTTGTTGTCTACAGCCAATTCTGAGCAATTAAACATTCATATTCTATTTTGGTTGTGACTGTTAAGTTTCACTGTTTCATTCAACCATCCTATACTTCAGTATCTGATTTCTAGTGTAAATTATGAATCTGTAATGCTTCCGAAATATTTCTTATAAAATATGGTGTCCTGTATGTAATGTCCGCTTGTAATATTTGTGCTCCCAATCCATAAAGACATCAACAATTTCCATTTAATTGAGAGAAGCAATATCTCCAAATAGCCAGTACTGTAGCTGATTTACGCCACTTCACTTAAATAAAGCCAATTAAGAATGAAATGCTATGAACTTTTTGCCACTTGCCCTGTATTATGTTGGATTAATACAATGAACTCTTGGCATCCTATCATAAGATGATGCAGCACAGAAAGGGGTCATTCACTTGTCAGGCCAGTGGAAGCTCTTTGGTTGAGTGTCTAATGAGTCTTGTTCCAGTGCTCTTTCCCTATAACAGCATAATTTTTATTTTTTTTTTAATGTATATTATGCTCATTTGAATACTACTACTGAATCTGTTATCACCTTTTCAGGCAATGCATTTCTAGATCACAGTAATTCACTATATAAAGAATATTATAAATGTTATAAATATAAGAGTGCTGAGTTTATCTGCCAGTCAATTGAAATAGTTAAGCAGGAAAGCTGACGTTTCGGGTCTAGACCCTCCTTCAGAAGTGGGGGAGGGAAAGGGGATTCTGAAATAAATAGGGAGAAAGGGGGAGGCGGATAGAAGATGGATAGAGGAGAAGACAGGTGGAGAGGAGGCAGACAAGTCAAGGAGGTGGGGTTGGAGCCAGTGAAGGTGAGTGTAGGTGGGGAGCTAGGGAGGACGGACAGGTCAAGGAGATAGGATAAGGCTAGTAGGTAGGAGATGGGGGTGGGGCTTGAGGTGGGAGGAGGGGATAGGTGGGAGGACAGATTAGGGAGGCGGGTACGAGCTAGGCTGATTTTGGGATGCGGTCGGGTGAGGGGAGGTTTTAAAGCTTGTGAAGTCCATGTTGATACCATTGGGCTGCAGGGTTCCCAAGCGGAATATGAGGTGCTGTTCCTGCAACCTTCGGGTGGCATCATTGTGACTCTGCAGGAGGCCCAGGATGGACGTGTCGTCCAAGGAGTGGGAGGGGGAGTTGAAATGGTTCGCGACTGGGAGGTGCAGTTGTTTGGTGCGAACCGAGCGTAGATATTCCACAAAGTGGTCCCCAAGCCTCCACTTGGTTTCTCCGATGTAGAGGAGGCCACAGCGGGTACAGTATACCACATTAGGAGATGTGCAGGTGAACATCTGTTTGATGTGCAAGATCTTAGGGCCTGGGATGTGGGTGAGGGGGGAGGTGTAGGGGCAGGTGTAGCACTTCCTGCGGTTGCAGGAAAAAGTGCCGGGGCTGGTGGGGAGTGTGGAGCAGACAAGGGAGTCACGGAAGGAGTGGCCCCTCCGGAACAGATAAGGGTGGGGAGGGAAAAATGTCTTTGGTAGTGGGGTCGGAACGCAGATGCCGGAAGTGTCGGAGGATGATGCGTTGGATCCGGAGGTTGGTGGGTGGTACGTGAGAACAAGGGGGATTCTGTTTTCATTGTTATTGCGGGTAGAGGATGTGAGGGATGAGTTGCGGGAAATGCGAGAGACACGGTTGAGGGCGTTTTCGACCACTGTGGAGGGGAAGTTGCAGTCCTTGAGAAACGAGGACATCTGGGATGTCTGGGAGTGGAATGCCTCATCTCGGGAGCAGATGCAGCCGAGGCGAAGGAATTGGGAATAGGGAATGGCCTTTTTGCAGGAAGGTGGGTGAGAGGAGGTGTACTCGAGGTAGCTGTGGGAGTCGGTGGGCTTGAAATAGATATCGGTTTACAGGTGGTTGCCAGAGATGGAAATAGAGAGGTCCAGGAAGGAGAGAGAGGTATCGGAGATGGTCCAGTTGAACTTAAGGTTGGGGTGGAAGGTGTTAGTGAAGTAGATGAACTGTTCGAGCTCCTCGTGGGAGCACAAGGGGGCGCTGATACAGTCATCGATGTGACGGAGGAAGAGGGGGATAAGGCCAGTGTAGCTTTGGAAGCGGGATTGTTCCACGTATCCTACAAAGAGGCAGGCATAGCTTGGGCCCATGCGGGTACCCATGGCCACCCCTTTTGTCTGTAGGAAGCGGGAGGAATGGAAGGAGAAGTTGTAAAGGGTGAGGACGAGTTCAGCTAAGCGGATAAGGGTGTCAGTGGAGGCGGACTGGTCGGGCCTGCGGGACAGGAAGAAGCAGAGGGCCTTTAGGCCGTCTGCATGGGGAATGTAAGTATATAGGGACTGGACTTCCATGATAAAGATGAGGTGTTGGGGACCAGGGAATCGGAAGTTTTGGAGGAGGTGGAGGGCATGGGTGGTGTCATGGACGTAGGTGGGGATTTCCTGGACCAAGGGGGAGAAAATGGAGTTGAGATGAGTTCGGTGGGGCAGGAGCAGGTGGAGACAATGGGTCGACCAGGGCAGTCAGGTTTGTGGATTTTGGGAAGGAGATAGAAACGGGCGGTGCGGGGTTGGGGAATGATGAGGTTGGAGGTTATGGGTGGGAGGTCACCTGAGGTGATGAGGTTGTGGATGGTTTGGGAGATGATGTTTTGGTGGTCGGGGGTGGGGTCATGATCAAGGAGGCGGTAGGAGGAGGTGTTGGAGAGTTGGCGCCTAGCCTCGGCGATGTAGAGGTCAGTGCGCCATACTACAAGAAGGGTCTAGACCCGAAATGTCAGCTTTCCTGCTCCTCTGATGCTGCTTCGCCTGCTGTGTTCATCCAGCTCTACACCTTGTTGTCTCAGATTCTCCAGCATCGGCAGTTCCTGCTATCTCTGTAACAATTGAAATAGTTACTCCTTATTCGTAAATTTGAACACCATTTAATCTCTTCTTAATTTAATGAGCCCCGTTTCTGTAAACATAACCAAATTCATAAACTCATAAGAAATAGGAGCAGGAGTAGACCATTCATTTAGCTTATCAAACTTTAGTAAGATCATAGCTAATCTGGTTGTCGTAACTCCACTTTCCTGTCTGCCCCCAATAATCCTTGACTCTCTCTCCAATCAAAGTACTGTCTAACCTATCCTTGAATATTTTCAGCAAATCAGTCTCCACTTCTTGGAAGAGATTTCTGAAGACTGATGATGCTCTGATAGAAGAAGTTCCTCGTTATTTTTGTCTTAAATGGAGAGCACTTATTTTGACCAGAATCCCCTATTTCTAGATTCTCCCATGTGGGGAAACATCCTAAATAAGAACTGTGGATGCTGGTGAATCAGGAACAAAAACAAAGTTGCTGAAAAAGCTGAGCAGATCTGGCAGCATCTGTGAAGGAAAAAACAGAGTTAACATTTCTGAGGAAGGGTCACCAGATCCAAAATGTTAAGTCTGTTTTTTTCCCTCACAGACGCAGTCAGACCTGCTGAGCTTTTCCAGCAACTTTGTTTTTGTTGTTGTGGGGAAACATCCTCTTGGCATCCATCCCATTAAGCATCCTCAAAAATCTTGTGTTTCAAAAAGATCACCTTTCATCCTTCGAAATGCTGATACCTTTGGGCACAATCAATTCCCCTTGCAATAAAAACCAAACATGCTTTTTGCCTTCCTAATTACTTGCTGTGATTCTAACTTGTTGTGATTCATGTGCAAGTGCACTCTGATCCCTCTTTATGCAGTTTCTCTCCATTTAAATAAACTGCTATTTCTTTCCTGCCAAAGTAGACAACATCATATTTTTCGATATGATATTCCATCCGCCCTCTCACTTGCTATCCTACTCATCTTTGTATCTTTGCCCATTCTGGCAAATCTCTTTTTCAGTCTCTCAAAGCCCTGGCAAACTTTCCTAAAGTTTGGTGTCCTGAGTTAAACAGACTACTCCAGTTGCAGTATGTAATAAATGATTTATGAGGGCTAAGTGTAACAGTTACTTTTGTGCTCATCTTCCATTGATAAAACCAAGAATTTCTTAAGCTTTTAACAGCCTGCTGAAATTCGTCTGTCACCGTCAAAGATTATTCCTACATTCTCAAGCTTCTGCTCCTTTAAAAATTGTACCAATTAGTTTATATTGCATCTGTTTAGTCTCCTGAACATAATGGGTGGATTTGAATTATTGCACTTTTGCTATTGTTCATTGGATAACCTGAAGGTTAGCCTCTCAATTTATGTTCAAGATTATTTGTTTATTATATAATTACGTGGCATATGTTTACCATTTTAATAAGTGAGCAATTATTTTTAAACTATTATGCAATGCGTCCTGTTAATGTCAAACTTCATTCTGTACCTCGTACTTTTGTATGAGACAGAACAGATTCTTCTGACTCATTATGCTGATGGCTCACTCAAACTCATACAAGACGGACCAAGTTACTCTGACTATAAAAACAATGTAGAAATTTATAGAACAAAGAAAATTACAGCACAGGAACAGGCCCTTTGGCCCTCCAAGCCTGCGCGATCCAGATCCTCTATCTAAACCTATCGTCTATTTTCCAAGGATCTGTATCCCTCTGCTCCCTGCCCATTCATGTATCTGTCTAGATACATCTTAAATGATGCTATTGTGCCCGCCTCTACCACCTCCTCTGGCAACGCGTTCCAGGCACCCACCACCCTCTGTGTAAAGAACTTTCCACGCATATCTCCCTTAAACTTTTCCCCTCTCACCTTGAAAACGGGACCCCTAGTAATTGAGTCCCCCACTCTGGAAAAATGCTTCTTGCTATCCACCCTGTCTATACCTCTCATGATTTTGTAGACCTCAATCAGGTCCCCCCTCAACCTCTGTCTTTCTAATGTAAATAATCCTAATCTACTCAACCTGCCTTCATAGATAGCAACCTCCTTACCGGGCAACATCCTAGTGAACCTCCTCTGCACCCTCTCCAAAGCATCCATATCCTTTTGGTAATGTGGTGACCAGAACTGTATGCAGTATTCCAAATGTGGTCGAACCAAAGTCCTATACAACTGTAACATGACCTGCCAACTCTTGCACTCAGCACCCTGAACAATGAATGAAAGCATGCCGTATGCCGCCTTGACCACTCTATCAACCTGCGTTGCCACCTTCAGGGTACAATGGACCTGAACACCCAGATCTCTCTGTGCATCAATTTTCCCCAGGGCTTTTCCATTTACCATATAGTTCGCTCTTGAATTGGATCTTCCAAAATGCATCACGTCGCATTTGCCTGGATTGAACTCTATCTGCCGTTTCTCCGCCCAACTCTCCAGTCTATCTATACTCTGCTGCATTCTACGACAGCCCCCTTCACTATCTGCTACTCCACCAATCTTAGCGTCATCTGCAAACTTGCTAATCAGACCATCTATACCTTCCTTCAGATCATTTATGTATATTACAAACAACAGTGGTCCCAACACGGATCCCTGTGGAACACCACTGGTCACAGTTCTCCATTTTGAGAAACTCCTACCCACTACAACTCTCTGTCTTCTGTTGCCCAGCCAGTTCTCTATCCATCTAGCTAGTACACCCTGGACCCCATGCAACTCCACTTTCTCCATCAGCCTACCATGGGGAACCTTATCAAATGCCTTACTGAAGTCCATGTATATGACATCTACAGCACTTCCCTCATCTATCAACTTTGTCATTTCCTCAAAGAATTCTATCAAGTTGGTAAGACATGACCTTCCCTGCACAAAACCATGCTGCCTATCACTAATAAGCCCATTTTCTTCCAAATGTAAGTAGATCCTATCCCTCAGTATCTTCTCCAGCAGCTTCCCCACCATTGATGTCAGGCTTACCGGTCTATAATTACCTGGATTATCTTTGCTACCCTTCTTATACAAGGGGACAACATTAACAATTCTCCAGTCCTCCGGGACCTCACCTGTGCTCGAGGATGCTGCAAAGATATCTGTTAAGGCCCCAGCTATTTCCTCTCTCGCTTCCCTCAGTAACCTGGGATAGGTCCCACCCAGACCTGGGGACTTGTCCACCCTAATGCCTTTTAGAATACCCAACACTTCCCCCCCCTCCTTATGCCGACTTGACCTAGACTAATCAAACATCTATCCTTAACCTCAACATCCTTCATGTCCCCTTCCTCGGTGAATACCGACGCAAAGTACTCATTAAGAATCTCACTCATTTTCGCTGACTCCTTGCATAACTTCCCTCCTTTGTCCTTGAGTGGGCCAACCCTTTCTCTAGTTACCCTCTTGCTCCTTATGTATGAATAAAAAGGCTTTGGGATTTTCCTTAGCCCTGTTTGCTAAAGATATTTCATGACCCCTTTTTAGCCCTCTTAATTCCTCGTTTCAGATTGGTCCTACTTTCCCAATATTCTTCCAAAGCTTCGTCTGTTTTCAGTTGCCTAGACCTTATGTATGCTTCCTTTTTCCTCTGCTAGTCTCACAATTTCACCTGTCGTCCATGGTTCCCTAATCTTGCCCTTTCTATCCCTCATTTTCACAGGGACATGTCTGTCCTGCACTCTAAGCAATCTATCTTTAAAAGCCTCCCACATATCAAATGTGGATTTACCCTCAAACAGCTGCTCCCAATCCACATTCCCCAGCTTCTGCCGAATTTTGCTATAGTTGGCCTTCCCCCAATTTAGCACTCTTCCTTTAGGACCACTCTCATCTTTGTCCATGAGTATTCTAAAACTTACGGAATTGTGATCACTATTCCCAAAGTAATCCCCTACTGAAACTTCAGCCGCCTGGCTGGGCTCATTCCCCAACACCAGGTCCAGCGTGGCCCCTTCCCAAGTTGGACTATTTACATTCTGCTCTATAAAACCCTCCTGGATGCTCCTTACAAATTCTGCTCCATCTAAACCCCTAACACTAAGTGAATCCCGGTCAATGTTGGGAAAATTAAAATCTCCCATCACCACCACCCTGTTGCTCCTACATCTTTTCATAATATATACATGACTGGGAAAAATGTTTTCAGTTCATGTTACTGTTAACACTATCTAATGTTATTTCTTGATTAATCTAATATATAATTTTGGTGATGAAGTTGAGCAGTTTTTATTAGAAAAATCAGTAGATCTGCTTCTCTTCCAGGAAACTGCACCAATGTGGTTACTATTGAATGAAGCAGGTTTGTACTGGCGAGCCATTGGGAATACAACTTCTGCTCTTGACTGTTTAAGACAAGCATTGAATCTGGTTCCAGAAGATTACATGGACATTCCACTTGTCAACCTGGCTAATCTGCTAATTCACATTGAGCTACATCAGGACGCTGCTGCTCTTTTGCAAAAAGCACTGGCTATTAACAGCACAGAGGTAATTTTACCAGACAAATAAAAAAACTGACACTGCGTCAATTCAGAACGAAAAAAGATTAAATGTATTTTATTTATATAAAGGATCTGGTTGAACTTGGAAAAGTGATCAAAGAATGATTAGTCTATTCAAAATTAACCTTAAGTCGTATGATCTAATTTGCATTTATGATACTTTGTAATTCCTTTGAGCATTGCATTTGAACTAACTTAAACTGTGCTAGTATTAATGGGTTGGTGGTCTTTGCTTCAACCTTGTCAAATGTGAGGTAGGAATTTTCCCACCTAACAGGAACTGAGTTTCAGTGCATGTGGAGTAGTTGTATCTACTGAATTTGACAATAGATTGAGGTCCCAATGTCATCTAGCATTCCCTGGCTTGGGTTCTCTTTCAGCTTCCCTGCAAATCTCTTCCAAGTCCAGCAAAGAATCCCTTTTCATAGGGGTCATTTGACCCGTCAAATCTGCACTGATGGTCTGAAGAGTAGCCCACCCAAACCCAGTCCTCTACACTACCTCTGTAACCTTACATTTACAATGGCCAATCCACCTAACCTACGCATCTTTGGACTGTGGGAGGAAACCAGACCACGCAGTGGAAACCCACACAGACGCAGAGAATGTGAAAACTCCACACAGCCACCCAAGGCTAGAATTGAACTTTGTGCTGTGAGGCAGCAGTGCTACTGAGCCGCTGTCTTTCACAGTTTGAAATGCCGTTTAAAAGTCTAAGTCACTTTTTTTTTTTTAAACCCTGGATTCTTTTGGTGCATGCGATCCATGCTATCGATGCACCTTTCCAAGTTCAACAAAGATGCACAGCAGAAATTGAGTGAAACTGACCTAATAACAACAGTATGAAGTCAACGGTCCTATGGTCAGCTAGCACTGACAGCAGTGGTTCTGTCAGTTGTAAGAACTACACATATTTGAATTGGAAACATCAACTAAGAAAATGGAAGTTTGGGTACTACTGGGTTACAGAAAATGAACTAGTTGCTTTTTGTGATAACTCAGAAAAAATGGAACAGTGTGGTGTTCGGTTATTAGTTACACAAGATTTTGTAACTTTTACTAGTGGAAATGGGGAGTTTTGTACTGCAGTTTGCCTGCACTTTCCACATCCTAGAAAAGTATATTTTTTAAATGCCGTCTCAACACCAGCACCCCCAAAAATTGCACTTTTAAACTGGAACTGTGGCAAAGATTAGTTGACTCAGCACAGACTGAAAATGAGAACTTAGGCCTGGACTATATCATGACCAAGTAGTTATGAGACACAATTTTCAAACACTTTCTGGAATTAATGAAAGTCTGTAGGCACAAATTCCATCCGAGAAAAAAAAAATTTTTTTTTAAAAATTAGAATTTTTTTTTAATTGATGGCACTTTAACTATTGTCATTTCTTTGTCTCCTTGGTTCTAAACAAAGATCCATCAATGCAGTGTCACAACTATGAAGCACTTGAAAATAGAGGTAGACAAATTGAAAGCATTAGGCTTAATAGTGTTATTCCACTTTGTGCTTATCACATAGCCGCATAATAGCTCATATCTCAATTTATCTCTATATCAGTCATAAAAGTACTCAAATCTATACTGGTATTTCCACTTGAGGTGAAGATATGTTTAAAATTTTCCATTTGCACATTTTGAATACTTCAGATGTAAACTTAACAGCGGCAAAAGCTAATAAATGTCCGAACTGTTGAGTGTGGCAGTTTGCTTTATTTCTAAGCGCAATAGCTGACAAAATTTGCATCATTTTAGTTTGTCTGAGCACTGAATTAACCCATAATGTGTTGCTTCTTCCAGCCTCTAACGCTTCTAAGCTTAGGGAACGCTTATCTGGCTCTGAGGAACATTAGTGCTGCTCTTCAAGCCTTTAGAACAGCACTGGACAGAACAACTGGATGCCCTGAATGTGACAGCAACCTTAAGTTAATTCGCTGCCTACAGTTCTATCCTTTCTTATACAACCTTACATCTTCCAAGTGTACAGGTAAGAACAGAATAGATCCTGAAGGAGGCAGAAAGGAAGCTCCATAATTCAGCCATCTTTTAAGTGAATGTTCATTAAAGAATTAGTTCTAGAAGCATGTATTTGTGTTCGTTAGGGTGCAAACAAAATCTCTGCCAAGTACACAAGAACACAAGAACTAGGAGCAGGAGTAGGCCGTCTGGCCCTTCGAGCCTGCTCCGCCATTCAATAAGATCATGGCTGATCCTTTCGTGGACTCAGATCCACTTACCCGCGTTCTCACCGTATCCCTTAATTCCTTTATTGTTCAAAAAATGTCTACCTTTTTTTTAAAAGCGTTTACTGAAGTAGCGTCAACTACTTCACTGGGCAGGGAATTCCATAGATTAACAACCCCCTCTGGGTGAAGAAATTCCTTCTCAGTTCAGTCCTAAATCTGCTCCCTCTAATCTTGAGGCTATGCCCTCTTGTCCTAGCTTCACCTGCCAGTGGAAACATCCTCTCTACTTCTATCTTATCTATTCCCTTCGTAATTTTATGTTTCTATAAGATCCCCCCTCAATGTTCTGAATTCCAATGAATATAATCCCAATCTACTCAGTCTCTCCTCATAAGCCAACCCCCTCAACTCCGGAATCAACCTAGTGAACCTCCTTTGCACCCCGTCCAGTGCCAGTACATCCTTTCTCAAGTAAGGAGACCAAAACTGCACACAGTACTCTAGGTGTGGCCTCACCAGCACCTTGTACAGCTGCAACATAACCTCTCTGCTTTTTATTTCAATCCCTTTAGCAATGAAGGACAAAATTCCATTTGCCTTCCTAATTACTTGTTGTACCTGCAGACCTACCTTCTGTAATTCATGCACAAGGACACCCAGGTCCCTCTGCATAGCCGCATGCTGCAACTTTTTACCATTCAAGTAATAATCCATTTTACTATTACTCCTACCAAAATGTATGACTTCACATTTATTTACATTGCATTCCATCTGCCAGACCTTTGCCCACTCAGTCAATGTATCTATGTTCCTCTGCAAAGTTTCACAGTCCTCTGCACACTTTGCTTTGCCACTCATCTTAGTGTCATCTGCAAACTTTGACACCCTACACGTGGTCCCCAGCTCCAAGTCATCTATATAAATTGTAAATAATTGCGGTCCCAACACCGATCCCTGAGGCACACCACTAGTCACTGACTGCCAGCTAGAATAGCACTCATTTATCCCCACTCTTTGCTTCCTGTTAGTCAACCAATCCTCTATCCATGCTAATAAGTAAGATGTGCATTGTTTCATTTAGCTTCACCTACATGGACATGAGACATTTTGCAAGTATATAATGTTGCCTGAAGTCTTAATTATTATGAGTTATATCTCATTTCAAACTGTAGATTCATAATCATTTGTAACATAGAAGGTTACCATTTGGCCCATCAACAAATGTCTGACTTCACCAATCCCATTTTCCAGCTTTTGGCCTATAACCCTGAAGGTTATGGCAACACAACACAATATTCTGGACTCCCACCACCCTCTGGGTGAAAACTTCCCTCACTTCTCCTGTTAGCCTTCTATCTCTTACCTTGAATCCGTGTCTCCTTGTAATTGACCCCTCTACTAATGGAAAAGGTGCCTTTGTATCTCTCCTTTCTATCCCCTTGTAATCTTATGCACCTCTATCAGGTACCCTTTCAATCTTAAATGTTCCAAAGAAAACAAACCCAGGCTGTGTGATCTTTCCTCATCATGGATCCTCCAGCCCAGTAACATTCTGGTAGATCTCCCCTGCACCCTTTCTAGTGCAGTTATATCCTACCCGTAATGTGGTGATCAGAACTTCATGCAGTATTCCAATTATGGTTCAATCAGCATCTTCTTGCTCTTGTATTCTATGTTTTAGCTAATAAAGGTAAGAATCCAATCTGTAGAATTCTCTGCCACAAACGAAATTTGAGGCTGGGTCACTGTTATATTTGACGTTATGATAGACGGATTTTTAATCAGTAAGGGAATCCAGGATTATGGGGAAAAGGCAGGAAAATAGAATTGAGGATTGTCAGATCAGCCATGATCTCATTGAATGTCACAGCAGGCTCAATGGGCTGACTGGCCGACATCTGCTCTATATCTTATGGTCATATGCCTTCTTAACCACCATATCTACCAACCCTGCTACCTTCAATGATCTGTGAGTATGCACACCAATGTTTCTCTGATATTCGGCACTTTCTAGGGTCCTGCCATTATAGTGTAATCCCTTGCATTTGTTAGTCTAATCCCATGTGCATTGCCGCACACTTTTCAAGGTTGAATTCCATACATGCACTAAGGGAAAATGATATCTTAAATAAAGGTACTGGAAGATTGTTGAGTATAATGTGAGCCATATCTTTAAATATGACAATGTTTCTTTGCATTAAATTTAAATGTTTGTTTTTCATGGATGTATTGTTGGGAAAATTCCAAAGATGCTGGGAGAAAATATATAGCATTTACATATTTTGATGTTTTCATTTTATATTTTTGATGCAGTAGTATGACTAAACTATATGGGTGAGGCCATATGGGTACAGCTCAGGAATATGATAGGAATGCAGTCACTTTATTGGGGTTGTACTGTGGGCTTCCCAACAGGCAGTACGAGATAGAGGAACAGATATGTGGACAGATTGTGGAAAATGTAAAAAATAGAGTTGTTGTGGTGAGTGATTTTAAACTTCCTCTATATTGACTGGAACTCCCTCAGTACCAGGGGCATAGGTGGGAGGGAGGGAGCGAACATGGTGACGGTTGATTTGAGGTGCATCTGGGAAGGTTTCTTGAAGCAATATGTAAATAGGCCCGACTTGGGAAGGAACTGGACCTGGTATTGGAGAATGAGCCCGGCCAGGTGATTTAAGTTTCAATACTTTGTATTGGTGCATTTCAGGAACAGTGACCATAATTCTAAAGTTTTAAGTTACTTATTCATAAGGATAAGAGTGGGGTAAGGCAGTCTACGAAAATATTAGGCAGAAACTGAGGAATGTGGATTGAGAGCTGCAGCTTGAGAATAAATCCACATCTGCCATGTGGGAATCTTTTAAAGGCCATCTCGTTAGTGCTCAGGACCTGCATGTTTCTGTGAAAATGAAAGATAAGAATGGCAAGATTTGGGAACTTCAAATGACAAGATATTGTAAGCTTAGTCAAAAAGAAAAATGAGGCATCTGTGAAGTTTAGGAAACCGAAGACAGACAGACACAGACAGCCCTTGAAGAATATAAAGAAAGCAGGAAAGAATTTAAATATGAAGTTAGGAGGGCTGAAAGGGACCATGAAATGCCCTTGGCAAACAGGATTAAGGAAAATCCCAAGGCATTTTATACATACATAAGGAACAAGAGGGTAGCTAGGGAAAGGATAGGTCCAACCAAGGACATTTTATACATATATAAGGAGCAAGAGGGTAGCTAGGGAAAGGATAGGTCCACCCAAGGACAAAGGAGGGAATTTATGTCTGGAGCCAGGGGAAGTGGTTGGGGTCCTTAAGAAATACTTTGTATTGGTGCTCATAAAGGAGAAGGACATGGTGAATGGTAAGTCTAGAGAGGAGAATGTTGATTTACTAGGGCATGTCGATATAACAAAGTTGTTGGGTGTTCTGAAAAGCATTAAGACAGACAAGTCCCCAGGATCTGATTGGATCTATCCCAGAATACTGAGGGAGGAAATTGTTGGGAAGTTGCTCACAACTTGTACAAAACCTTTGTATCTTTATTCACAGGAGAGGTTCCAGAGGTCTGGAGAATAGCCAATGTTGTTCCTTTGTTTAAGAAGGGTCATAGAGATAATCCAGAAATTACAGGCCAGTGAGCATTATGTCAGTGGTAGGGAAATTATTGGAGAAGATTCTTATCAATAGGATTTACTCACATTTAGAAAAATATGGTCTTATTAGCAAAAGGCAGCATGGCTTTGTGCAGCAGAGGTTGTATCTCACAAACTTGATTGAGTGTTATGAGGAAGTGATAAAGATGATTGGTAAGGGCAGGGCAGTGGATGTTGTTTACATCGACTTTAGCAAGGTCTTAGACAAGGTCCCTCATGGCACACTGATACAGAAGGTGAAATCACATGGTATCGGCAGTGAGCCGGTAAGATCGATACAGAACTGGCTTGTGCATAGCAGACAGAGTAGTGGTGGAAGGGTGTTTTTCTGACTGGAGATCTGTGACCAGTGGTCGTCTGATTAGTAAGTTTGTGAACAACAAAGATTTGGGGAGCTGTGGATAGTGAGGAGGATTGCCAGAGGATGCAGCAGGAGATAGACACCTTGGGTGGAGCAATGGCAGATGGAATTTAATTCAGACAAATGCAATGTTATGCATTTTGAAAGGTCTAATGCAGGAGGGAAGTGTACAGTAAATGGCAGAACCCTTAGAAGCATTTACATGCAGAGGGTTCAAGGTGTATAGGTCCACAATTCCCTGAAAGTGGCAACACAAATGGATAAGGTGGTCAGGGTATGTGGAATGCATGTCTTCATTGGTCAGGACATAAAGTATAAAAACTGGCAAGTCATGTTGCAGCTGTACAGAATTTTAATTAGGCTACACTTGGAATATTATGCATCATTCTGGTCTCCACACTACCAGAAGGATGTGAAGGATGGAGAGGGTGCAGGAAAGGTTTACCAGGATGTTGACTATTTTGGAGGGTATTATCTATGAGGAGAGTTTGGACAAACTTGTTTTCACTTGAGGGCCAGAGGGTGAGGGACAACCTGATTTGAAATTTACAAATTGAGAGGCGTGGATAGACTGGATAGTCGGAGTCTTTTTCCAAGGGTAGATAGGTCAATTACTAGGGGACATAGGTTTAAGGTAAAAGGGGGTAAGTTTGAAGGAGACGTGAGAGGCAAGAGTCTGGAATGTGCTGCCAGAGGACGTGGTAGAAGCAGGTGCAACAGCAGTGTTTAACAGGCGTGTCATATACATGAATAGGCAGGGAATAGAGAGGTATGGACTGCATAGGGTAGAAGGTTTTCAGTTTAGACAGGCCTCAT